CCCACTCGCAAAGGCGGCTTGTTCGAGTCCCTCCAGCCTCGGGCAAGCTCCACCTCGAACCGGTTGTCAGTCGCCGCCGCCGTCGACGCCGGCCGACTCTCCGAAGTCAAACGGTGGCCGCTGTTCAGTCGGTCGTGAGGCACGTACATTTGCCGGTTCAGTTCATCATTTTGCTTATGTCGACACCTCCAGTCTCTGGCTCGAGTCCGGTGCTCGACTTTGCGTCCAATGGCTGGCCGTCAGTGTCGTTTGACAGACGAACGCTTACACATGTACCGCATTTAGACGTCTGTTTACACACACACTTACGCATGTGTATGTATGTGTGTGTGTGTGTGTATCCAGGACAACAGATAACTCAAACGACGTCTAAAAGTGGTGATGAAATGGCGAAAACGAAGCGGCAGCCGAAGAGTAGATGATGTGGCGATGAAAGCAGACAAGCAGACAAGCAGACGTAGAAAGCAACGAGGAAAGGTGACAAAGCCGCGAGAGAGGGCGACGGAAGACATGAATTTAACTTGCTTATTCCTTTTCATCATTAACTTTCCAACCGGGTTTGTGCCAATTTCATGTCAAGCGTAGATTATGTCTTGAAAACGAGAACCGGCTTGCCCGACTGCCATTGCTCTCTCTCTCTTTCTCTTTCTCTCTCTCTCTCTCACTCGGCCCCGATTGAGCACATCATCCCTTCACACATACCCCCTCCTCCCACTCACCCATCCATCGGTACCCCTCGTGGGTGAAATGCCGACTTTGAGTCTGTCATCTCACCAGATTGACCGGCTCAGCGTTGTCGGCTGGTCGGCTGGACGGCTGGTCTCCATTAGGAATCACACTGGCGCGTACCGATTGTGCCTGCGTGTGGAGGGAATAGTTCACTTCGAGAGGCTAGGGCAGTTTATATGAGTTTATATGAGGCGAAAAACGTCGTGTGCCAAAGATTGAGCCCCACAAAGTGCCAGTCGCGGAGACGAGATTTGTACGAAATTGTGAAGAGTGTCTGATGCCATTTGAGTCTGTCGAGATTTGTCCGGTTGTCAGTGCGACATGCTGTCTTGGAGACATGTGACGCATTGAGTCGTCGAGGCGCGGCTGTCTCGACGACCACCTACTTGAAACCAACCACTTCGGAATTGGCGATTGAGGCCGTCAGTTGCCAAGGGCAACTGGTCCTGTGCAATGAAACTCATTTTGTGATCTTATTGAGGCATCATGTCGTTTGGTTGGCTTTTTCGGGCGTAGCACACATTCTTGTAGACAAGAGAGGTTGTTGATGCATGAAAATTAAAGTGCATGCAGAAGCAACCGTTTATTTGTGTAAATAATCAAATGTATGATCCATCATGATTTGTTTTTTTTTCTTTTTTTGGGCTTGCTTCGTTCGAGGAAGAATGCAAACGAGGAGTAGACTACAGAGACACGTACAAAGTGAATGCTGAAAGGAGAAGAAGAACAAGGACAAGAAAGAAAGAGACGAGATGTAAGAATGGGAAGAAGTGTGCGATAAAAAGAGGAGCATAAAAAGAAGAAGAAGAAGAAGAGTAAAAGATGGAGGAGACGAGGAAGAAAGAGTGGAAAGAGAAGAGGAGGATGAAGTAGGGAAATTGGCACACATTCTTGTAGACAAGAGAGGTTGTTGATGCATGCAAACAAAGTGCATGCAGAAGCAACCGTTTATTTGTGTAAATAATCAAATGTATGATCCATCATGATTTGTTTTTTTTTCTTTATTGGGCTTGCTTCGTTCGAGGAAGAATGCAAACGAGGAGTAGACTACAGAGACACATACAAAGTGAATGCTGAAAGGAGAAGAAGAACAAGGACAAGAAAGAAAGAGACGAGATGTAAGAATGGGA